CAGACGAAGCGATGAGGCATCGCCGTCGTCATGGACAGTTATCGCCAACGAAAGGAACAGGACAGTGGAGGAGGGAGGGAGGAAAGTGGCTTTCGTGTCCTCTCCAAGCTTCGCCGGTGCCTTTCTCTGCCCTGCTTTAAAGAGAATATGACAAATCGATTTTGTACGATCCAAATTGAACGTCCTCCTACATAAGTAATCGTAACTTTTATATGCAATGTTTTTTTTTTTTTGGTAACCGGAACCACTTTGGCAGTGTGCTGTGCCTGCAGCGATCGCGACTTAAGAATCACTGTGCGTAGCTGGGATTGACTCTCGCTCGTGGGGGGGGAAGCCGTATGGCCTGAGGCGGTGGTTTTATATGCAATGTTGCGATCTAGATAAACCTATAAAGATTATGATTGCCGAGCACTTATAAACAAGGTGGTATTTTAATGCCCCAGTAGAAGTGCCATGTCACTCAATGTACTGATGTTGTTAACCAACTTGGTGTATACTCAATAAAATATTCTTTTGGATAGGTGTGGCCTTGATCTACTCATTACTAAGATCCCGAGTATAAATTTTGTCAAGTTTTGCACAGTACAGAGACCCCACGAGGAAACACCAGAGGAAATATGCCGTTCAGGAGGGCAACGTTGTGCGCCTTTCTGAAGGAAAGAAATCACCAAGTTGCAAAGCAGCATGCACCTTTAATCTACATATAAACAACTGTAAGTAACCAGATGGTTTAGCTGAGCAGCCAGCGTTACCAGCCAGCAAGAGCAATGATGATGATCTATGCTGCTGGTGTATGAACCCTCTGACCAATACCGGGCGTCAAAAACGCTGCATTGCGGGAGACCAAAAACGACACGTTAACCAGAAAAGATAACAACTGCAGCAGCAGCTGCTGCAATGGCGAACCAAAATCCCATGTTTCCCGCCTAATTTCCTCGCTTTTTGTGTCACTTAACCCAACAAATCTGAAAGAAAGAGAACATGATGATCCTGTATTAAATTAACTGACAGAAAGGGAAACGTGAATTGTCAGTTGGTGGGCTTGTTTTCATTCGCAAGGCATTTCTCCATCCGAGTTAGTTTGAGGGTGGTTTCTCCTTTCTCTGCCGTAATTAATCATTTGCTGCTAATCATTCCCTCAAGATGGAACCTGACTTTGACCTCTCTTCCGAAAAAGTCAAGTCCTAAATCCAGGGTTTTCAATAATTTGGTGAAGAAGAACTACCACCACCATGAACATATGCATAGATAGTAATCAATCGCGTGATGATAAAGCTGTCATTATATCTCTCAGGTGTTGTAGGGACTGGACAAAAGTATGGACAAAAGGAGTCTCATCCTAAGGTTCTATTGATGGTGTCAAAACATTGGATCTTGTTTCAATCTCATCTCGAAGGGCCCTTTTCCCCGTTTTTTTATCTTGGATTAGCTCTTGAATTTATTACTCTTATCGTCCTCACGATTTGGCCTGGTTGGGTTGCCGCTTTTCAAGAGTAATGCCGAGCGCCTTTTTCGTTTTCATCTGTCTGGATGGTCCTAATGGGCACACGGATCAATCGCGCAGTGATAAAGCACGCCGTGAGTATTATCAATCAATGACATGTTAATCGTGTCCCCCACTTTAGATGCATGCTCAAACAAGCGAAACCCTTACGAAACAATAAACTTACTTAGAAACTGAACGTGTATATAAAGTGTAGCCTATGATAACGAATTCCGAGCCGGTTCTCATTTATAGTTTTGCATTTCAACCGTAGGGACATTACTTTTAAGCGATATTTAGCGTTAGAGTCTAGTCGGCTCGAAATATCATAAGATGTGAAAACATCGACACATAGTATTATTCTGAATCTATACAAGTTTTAGAATACTTTTTCTTGAAAATTTTTACGATACTCTTGGATGGCGCTGGCAAGTGAGAAACTCCAGCGGTCGGGCAAGAGCTGGAAGCTTCCTTAATCCTTATCTCAAGGGTAAATCGTGCGGAATTGCGTGCCCCATTGGTCATTGTAACCCAGCATCGTTTGCATTTATTACATCTATCGACAAGAACTTGGTGCACACGTCTCTGAACAATTGCCGTTTTCCCTCTATATTTCGAAATTCATATCGATCGATTTCCGCCGCCCAAGTAGTTCGAAAGACGAGAGAGAATCATTCACCGTGCATAAGAAATGAAAACATAAACAAATTGGAGTGGAGTGGATATGACGAGCTTATCCATTCTTTTTTTTGAAATTTTTAATATATTTTGTTTGCCCATGGAAAAAGGTGGTTGTGAAGGACCTTGCGAGATGTGATCATTAATTGGACAGTTACGGGTCACGTTTTTAAAAAACCAACATTAAATCCATGGACAACACATATCGGTGCACCGCTTTCCCTCTGCCCGTGAATTATAGATACTGTTTTTTGAACTGAGTTTTGCTGCATTAAAAGCGGCAATTGCAGCAGACACTTTTAGCTCCTTTTTGCTGTCTTTCCAAATACAGGTACCGATTCAATCCTAAATTTTTCAATTTTGCCAATACAATTCTAAACCTTTGCGTGAAACTCCAACATAATTATCCCTGTCCATTTTCGATGGAAATTACTGACGCGGCGATTCACAAGCCATCCTATGCGAGACAGCGATTTTCGGCGGCAATTGACCGGAAATATTAACTTGGAGTCTCACACATAAGGTTTAGGATTACATTGGCAAAATTGAAAAGTTTAGGACTGAATTGACATCCGTACGATTGATTGAGTAACTACTCCATGTTTTTCCTCTCTCTCTCTCTCTCTCGTTTCACCTGAAAAGTTGCAGCAGAGTAGACATGGCCACGGTTCGGAACCGGCGGTTCTGGTTCGTGGCCATGTATGAACCGGAACCGGCGGTTCTGGGCTGGTTCCGGTTCGGAACCGGCCGGTAAAAATTAAAAAAATAAATTATGAAATAAAAAAATAATGAGTTATCAAATTATGAAATAATGAATTATTCAATATAAAATGTAATCAAAATGTACATTGTAATCAAATTTAAGGAAAAAAAGAGTTTCTCCACTTATCTGCAGTTTTTTTTTTTGGAACCGGGCCCGGAACCGCCGGTTCCAGTTCCGAACCGCGGGCCCGGTCAACTGGCCGGTCCCGGGTTTGACCCGGGCCTAAACCGGCCCGTGGCCATGTCTACGGCAGAGAACGAAATGTCTTGGAAATATTGGTCATTCATATCTTAATACGTTACAGGCTCTATTGAAAACCGACTTTTCAAACCTCTGTTAACCCGGATGCCCCGGAAAAAACGAAGAAGAAAGAAAGCCTTTGTTAGCCTCCATCCATGTCTTTCATATATTACTTTGCCAGTCAAAATCCATAAGGCCTTCAAAGGATTTCATGGATACGGCCCATAATTGCCCTTTCCTTCTATAGCTGGCCCAGGTCGTCAATGGAAACCCTAAGAAAGGAACGCATTATTAGGACTTAATTATCTCCTCTCTCTTCTAATAAGGCATTTGTAATTACACATATCGGTCCACACCAACGCGCTATGCCCGTGCGCGATTGCTTTTTGCGCCATTAATCTAGTGAAGTTGGTCCTTTTTTTTGGAATATATATTGTTATTTGGAAAGTGCAAATTGTGCCAATGCATTATTAGGACTTAATATCTCTTCTAACAAGGCATTTTTGGAATTGCAAATGTGGGTTTTGCATCGATTAGTGTTCTTTTGGGAGAGCTTTTGCCTTCTAATTAAGGATTTGGACACAGGAAATTAGGAGACAAAAATAAAAAAGCTAAAGAGAAGCCGGCGATGAAAGTCAAGCGTAGCTCAAACGCACATATTCAATTGGTTCGTGAATTCCGGGGCATATAACAAAGCATCGCCATGGGGCTTTTGTGCAAGAAGCTTTAGCCATGAGCTAGAACAATGGTGAATGACAAGGAATCTCATGCCCATGTTGTGTAATATGTCATTCGAGGGTGATATAACGAGATACTTAAACTCCGAAACTTTCTCAAAATACAAATACAAAAGTGGGTTTTCCTTCCTCACACGTCACGACTTGATCTGGTTCTCTACAATGTTAATGGTGCATCCCATGCATAAAATTACTTTCTATACCATCTCAAAGAGAAGGGCGTTCGAGCACATTTGAAATAGATTTATGTGGACTTAAAAAAGTTTTATACATGTAGTCATCTTAAACTTTTGGGTTAGACTTTTTGATATGATATTGGAATCAAGTTATGACCGTTTCGCATGTGCGTTTTAGGATTTTTCGCGAAGTATTTCAAATTACCTGAAGATTAATTACAACTATCAATCCCATTTTTCGTGTTTGGTTTGAGTTTGACTGCCTTCTGCTTGTGCAATCGATGCCGTCTGGCCATTACATTGGCGAGGACCTTGTGAGCCGCCCCTTTGTCTTCACTCGGCAAGGGTTTGGTAAGCCATCACCTTCCTAACCCTGTTCCAACTAAACTAGCATGCCCATCGAAGTGCCCTAAATTGCTGTGCAAGTAGGCACATTAGTGCTATGCCAGAAAATTGAATTGAAAACGACTGTGGTGCGTCAATTATAAATGCATTAAAATTGTCGCATTCGGTAATTAAGATCAACATTTGATGATGCGTTTGCTTAAATGCGATATATTCACTTAAGGTGAAAATTATATCCATGAGTCCTCAAGGAACCGTTCTTGCTAGTAAGTGACGAACGATTTGCTGTATAATCGACATACAGAGTACCATGACACAAACAAGCTATAAAAGTTTACAAGAACGGTTGAGATGTGCTTTTTTGCGGAATTTTATTTAGAAGTGCTTTTATGACACGCGTTAATCTACCAAACAAAAATTGCTGTAATTTCGAATGCTCTTTTATAGTCAAAAGATGCAAACTTCGCTCAAACTTCACATCTTTCAAATTGCATTTAATCTTTGGATTTGAGATTGATGGGTCAATAATGATCCAAACAGACAACAAAACCCAACGAGCGAGTAACAGTTGCTAATGAGAAGTTTCTTTTCCATCGGTTCTTGCACTTTCCTCGGAAAGTGTCTGGCACGTTACTTACAGTTGTTTGGCGCTCGTTTTTGGCGTTCGTTTTTGGCGTTAGATTCTCTCTCTCTCTCTCTCTCTCTCGTGCCACCCACGACACAAATCCCAGAAAAGACCTGACCTTTACAGTTTAAGTTGTCTCTGGAAGTTTCGGCCTTTTCTGGGTAAGGTTCCATCCAATCCCATCTTTCTCGATCGTGCTTAACAGTTGCCGTCCTTCTTCTTTTGGTTCTTTTATCATGCCGTGTGCTGTTCCCGTTTCGTTTGATTTCCTGGTCAGTTTGGTTTGCTGTGAGCTCTTGTTATGAGCTTTGATTGTGCTTGGTCGCGTTGACTTTAGCGTGTCTTGAGTTGCGTTTGGGAGTATTGGGCCGTGGGCGTGGCAGTTTCTGATTCTGCATGTCATCCGGTCAGTAGAAGCTCTTTCACCATGGGTTAGACAGTTCTTGATCGCCTTATGAAGTTCTTCATTGAAAGTCGCTGTTGAATTGATGGCCGAATTAGAAGTGCTAGGATCTTTTTTGCCCCTTTCTTGAACCGTCGATAGTGTTCTGAGCACGACGCGAGTTGATGTGAGTTCATTCTGTGTATTTATTACCTGAATTGGAATACTTCCTCTATTCTAATCTTACTGTTTAAAATTGTGAATTCGAGCTGCAAAATTTAAATGCTTTCCCGCTGGAAAATGCATCTTTTCATTTGGAGCTTTGATTTAAGATGGTGTCCCAGTTTAGTTGTTTTTTTCGGGTTTTGTGGAGCCGGACATTGTGTGAGGCCTAACCTGACTATTTTGGAGATTGGCCGCTGAAAGTAGGATTGTTGAATGGGTTAACTGTTGACGTTTGTCTGAACTGCGGTCTCGTTTATTTACCTTGGGAGGTAATTGCTGACACAGACTAAGAGATGCTAGGGATTCTTCTTTCACTCAAATTAGCTATGTCAATAAATGTTCTTCAACGCTTGTGTATTCATTCGTTGTGGATGTCGGGAAGTTTTTCCAAAGCCTCTGGTTTCTCTTTTGATTTTGACCATGTTCCATTACAGTATAGAACGGACCTGTTAGATTTGCAAAATCCTAGAGTCTCATCGAGAAGGGGTGGGGGGGGGGGGGGGGGCGGGTTGTGGTTGTCAAACTTGCGATCTCTAACTGGTGATGTGTGTTAGCATCGGTAGAAAAGTTGTACCTTTGAATTGTGCTAACTGCTAATCAAACCTTAACTCTTTGGTTATGTAATTGTTTCAGTTTGACTTGCAGCAGACCTCTTGATTTCGTGTGAAACTTGTGCTTCATAATTGAAGTCAATAAAAGGAAAGGCGAATGCTATTAGAATCATGCAGCTGTATCATCACCCATATTCAATGGACAGCCAAAAGGTAAGGCTGGCTTTGGAAGAGAAAGGCATTGATTACACATCCTTCCATGTGAATCCGGTAACAGGCAAAAATTTGAGGCCTTCGTTCTTCAGAAGGAACCCGACTGCAAAACTCCCTGTTTTCCAGAATGGTTCGCATGTCATCATTGATACTATTGAAATCATTCAGTAAGTCTCATCCTATACTTACTACAGACTTGTTCTTTTTCTTGAAATGGTAATGACAAATGTTTGTTTGATGCGATTTTCAACTGTTTTGGCATATGATGATGAAAAATATCCCATGCGGAACTTGGAATCTTCTCTAGCTAAGTATGCCAGATAAAAGTATTTCTGGGTTTCTGGGTTAATGAATGTGTCCGTTGACAGGATGGTATTGTGCTCTGTCGTGTACCATATTCTTTGCAGATCTATTAACTCGGAGTCTTCTTTCTTTGTTTCTTTGTTTCTGTCTGTCTGTCTCTTCATTCTCTCCTTTTGGCCAAGTTCTCGTGTATGTCTTATGGCTCCTATTACATCTTTACATGAGCAACGTCTGTAGAATTTTCTCTTCTGATGGAAGCATTCTAAATGCCGTACTGATAAGCAAAAGAACCACGGTTATTGCTTGACAATTTTGGCAATTGATAGCTGTAGGTTTCTCACTGTGGATCCTGTAATAGCTGGCGTTTTTGTTTTCTCTGGGGCTTTAAATAAGCACTTTTTGCCATCCTTTTGCTTTTCTGCAAAACAAAATATCACTTTTTTTTTTTTTTGGTAAGGAACAAAATATCACTTTGATCTCTGAAAATGTCAAGAATTTTCTTTTGTGAAGATTTGATGTGTTGGATAAATAAAATAAACTGAAATTCGGATTGCAACAGCTAAAGTTAAAGCATGAGGCCAAAAGCAAAAACCACTCCAAAAACTTACAGCTGTTATCATTCTTTCATGGAGTAAGAATGGGGTCATTCTCATTGATGGTCCTTTTGTTTCGAATTTTCCTTTAAATTATCTGGTAGAAGCTTATGGAAGTTTATAACGCTTTAGAAATTTACAGGTATATAGAGAGAATTGCAGTTGTCTCTGTTGGTAGCAATAGCATTGCCTTCAGCAGTGACGAAGTCATTCAGTGGATGCATAAAATACAGGAGTGGAATCCAAAGTTTTTCACATTATCCCACGTCCCCGAGAAGTATCTGCAAGCAGTGTCCAAGTTTTTGAGGAGGGTCTTGATTGCTCGGATGGCCGAGTCGCCTGACCTGGCAAGTTCCTACCACCGCAAGCTAAAAGAGGCGTATGACAACGAAGAGAAGCTGAGAGACCCAGATGTTGTAAGGCGGAGCAAGGAACATCTAATCAAACTTCTCAATGAAATCGAGGACAAGTTGAGTGAGACGTCTTATATTGCAGGGGAAGAGTTTAGCATGGCAGACGTGATGTTCATGCCTGTGCTAGCTCGTTTGGCGCTCTTAAATTTGGAAGACGAGTATATAAACAGCAGGCCAAACATGGCAGAATACTGGAGTTGGGTTCAGCAAAGGCCTTCCTACAAAAAAGTGATAGGAAGATACTTTGGTGGCTGGAGGAAGTACAAGACCCTGGCTAAGACTTGGTGCTTCATACGGCTCAGTAGCACGCTGAAGAAGTATTAACTTCTCGACGCTGTAGGAAGATCTCGTAACTGTAAATGGGGGTGGGGAAAGTTATAGTTGTGGATAATCTTTTGGCAAAACTTACCTTTCAAATAGGTTCTGTACTGTTTCCCTGTATAATTGTAAGCGGCCGTTTTCTTTGTGTTGAAAGAGCAGGCAGTTGAAATTTTTCATTGGCTGGACTGCTTTCTCTTCTGAATTCCCTTTGAGGTTGAAATATATATGTAGAAACGAGCATGTTATGAATATAAGAAATTGTAAAGGTTCGACTTTTTTTGATTGCCAGTAGTAAACTTCATTGAGTTTGCAGTCTAAGAGCACAGTTCATATTCTAGATCTTAAGTGTCCTGATCTTTAGTAAAAGCTGGTACAAGTTAGTATATCATAAGGCAGAGTAATGCTACTGTTTTGATATATCAAGATTTATCAGCAAAAAAGAGCTGATTGAAGCACTCTCCTGGCAAACTGCAACAATCCCATATCTGAGCCCCAGATAAGTAAAAAAGCTACACATCTTGCGAATAGCTCAGTCGAACAAACAGGCGAGGATTGGAGAGACAGAGCACTTCCTCTGGTTTCTCTATCAAGTGGCTCTACTTCCTGAAAGCTTTTGAGGTAGCAGTCTGTATCAGCTGCTCCGGCATCATTTTGGGAAGCAAGAAACAGCCGTGTCTATGTCCAAAAGGTCATTCTGTATGGACATGGCCAGTCGACAGCAATTCCTTGGAGAAATCTGCGATTCTTTCTCAAACCGGCAAGTCTGACCCTTGTTCTAGTTCTCCATATCATTTTGCAGCTTACTCCAAGATGACTACGAATAGCACAAGTTCCTGGTGTTCAGGGGACTTCGCTAGCTAGCGCTGTAGAATTGATTCCCAGAACACTAGACACAAAGCAGGAATATCTTGTGCATCTTTCCTCAGTTTCCACACTGGACCAACACTATGATGCATCAGAGTACTTCTGAAATCACTCCAGTCCCCCAATCTGAAAACATCATATCGTCCCAGAAGTTGATAATTCGGCAGCGACATCGATCCCTGACTTAAGGAAACACTATCCTTCCTCGATCACTAGTCTGGTAAAACCTCTGATACACTTCATGAAATATTGTTGGATTGAACTTAAGAATCTGATCTTGCTCACTCATTGGATGAGAGTTAATAAAACTCGTGCAAGGTAGCATGGCATGGCGCGCTGTCATGCGAGTTTTACCTAATAATTTGTTATTCATTGCAACTCTAGCATTTTTTCTACTAATTTTAACATTTTGAGTATATTAATGTTGGCCCCGCAACCGACTCAGCACCAAATTCCGGTTAGCAAATTCAAATCTCTTAACACACTTAAGCACCATTTTCACAGCCTTTCATTTTCCTTCACCAAATTTCGGTTGCCAAATGAGCTCAACTCTTTATTTTTACTAAAATGATGGGATCTGTGCTCGTTATCCCACTCTTTAAGTAACTAACAAAAAACTGTCATGCGTGAAGCCGCATCATTTAGTAACTGAGTTTTTGCTAAAAAATAATTCCGTGTGCAGAATTGCTTGTTCTTTTTCCAATAACACGAACAATTTTCACTCTCGTTTACTTTTTAACTGATCATTTCGGTATGCTAGAGTTTCCTTCTGTACGTATAGCTGTTCGACTGCAATAGCATATTAACTCAATGTTCCGATGTCTCGTACTAATTTATTGTCGCATATAGACTCACTTCTTCTATATGCCAATAAAATCCCATGTTACACGAAACTGATAGTACCTATGACAGCAATGAACTGCATGAAGTATATGTTGGACAAGTTAGACAATTCATCCGTGTTCATGGGACTGCAAACCTGAAGCACTAGGACATGTTCCAATACTCAAGCGCACGAACGGTCGGTTCAAGCCAAGGCACTTCAATTACATCAATACATACATATATCTTATTCCATATCTGCTATTATGTTTCGCATAGAGATTTTATAAGAGACTCCATGCACGGTGGTACTACAGCAAGCCCATAGGAACGTCGACAATTGTCTCAAGATAGGAGTTTTTAGAACCTTCGTTGTAAGTTTGGCTGGATCGGTTGCACACGGTAGGCGGGAGAGCCGAAGCCGGCCTTGGTTCTTTGATGGTATCCGTCGTTCCCAGCCCTAGCATTTTCGGCCATCATCATGTCTTTATGTTGCTGAAAGCAAAAAAAATAAAAAAAAAACAGACGAAAAGAAAGAGATTAGAGTAAAATGAAGTCGGTTATACTTATAATAAGGGTTTATTTCCATTTTCTAGCTCAATGAATAAGGAAGATGCATCTAAGGTCTCTTTGTTGTGGCATTAATCGATTATAGACATTCCTTTGTACTATCGTCACCTGGTCCATGATTTATTTGCGAGCAGATCAGGTTTGTAAAGCAAAACCGGTTCACCTTATATTTCTCGACGTAGTTCATTGTGATGATGCGTCTGTGGATGTCATAACGAACTTACTTACCTGCAATCTAGAATTCTATAATATCCCTGATAAAATGGTCTCGTCGAATTGATTATTTATACTATCAGTAGTCATGACTTGTGTAGCATGTTATGTATTATTTCAATTGAAAATTGTATCATCAGTTGAAGAAGGCAGACAAGTATACAAGGAGAAACTTAACACTATAACACTAAAAACATGTACTGAATGATAACTTTAATGCTCCCGCCTCACGCATGAATTGGACCAAGAACGATATATAGAATTAAAGAACGAGAACATAAGATGAATAAAACCCCTCATGGGATACATAATATATATAAACATTGAATTGAACTGGGTGTGGTGAAATTGAAATTTGGTTTTATAAGACTGATAAACCTGCAAACTGGCCATAGAGATATCATTAATGCTGTAGATATGAGATGTTCGAAGGCATAATTAATGCCTTTTTTTCTGAGTTGTTTTTGTTAAAATATGAAACCGGCGGGTTAATCTTTATTATGACATAGTTATGAATCTAATTTGAAATTACGATATTCTAAAGAAATGTATCGTAGTACAAAACCTTTCAGACGAACACCGCATATTTGAAACCAATAACAAAATCTGTGTTTCGATAGTACTTCAGAGACAAGGTAAACTTTCTCAAGTTCATAATCAGAATATAGCTTTTAATACCATTATATATGTACAATTTCCGTATAAATGAAGCTTACCCTGTGACCTTGCTCTCTCCAATTTTCTTGATTTAAGTAGTTTCATTTACCTTCTTGTCACATAAATTTCGATTTAGTTTCAATGGAATATAATCCATAGTTTACCGTGATTGATTGGCGATCCTTTGTTAGGCCTTTGGCTAGTATTCATGGTTATTAACATGTTTCATATAGAAATTGTGAATATATAAGAAAGAAATATTGTACAAGAGAAGATCCCTGGTTACGTGCTAAGGGACAAAAAACTAGTTTGATGCCTTATATCTATGAACTGTAATGAAAAAGGAAATCCTTTTCTAGCTAGTTTGTAGGAGAGATGACACAGAAATGGAGAATTGGACCACCTATTTCCACACATACATATGTAGGCAGGATCACAAGAATCATAAATAAGAAACTCTTCACCAAAGTCAAAAACACTCTTTGGGGGATTACGATAATGAGGCTCATATATTGGCCAAATTGATAGCAATCTTACTTTCACCAAACTCAATTCTATTCAAGACCTAATTTCAATCGAGCTACAAGTTAGGTGTCCTCAATGCTATCATATAAGAACGCTCTTCTATCCTCGTTCTTCGTTTCTTGGAATTTGCTTGTGTACTATATATGCTTATGAATCATCGAGTTGATTATAAGTTGATGGAATTACCGCATAGAAATGGAGGTCCTTAGTCTCCTCCTCCAGCTGCTTTTGCTGAAACAGAATTTAAAAAAAAATCAAACAAAGTTGGCAAAAAAACCTTCTTTGATTGTTAGCCCCAAGAAAAGAGTCAGTAACAAGTTTGGATTGGAACTAACGTTTCTCCTGTGCGTCATGATAACCTCGTCCTGCAACACGAATGGAGGACTGATCAGAAAAGATGTTAGAAGTAAATTAACTCAATGTTTTTGGTGAATATATTTGCATAATCAAAGTTTTTCTTGAAAGACTTGCCTTCTGCTCTCGGACACACGAGAGCCCATTTTCAAGATTGTCTTCTAGGATTATCAGCTCTCTATGGTTCAGTGATGTTATGTCTTCTCCTTTCAGGTGCCTGTTTATAATATAACTTTATTCATGTTCATACATGATTGAATAATTTTTAAGAGAGAGAGAGAGAGAGAGAGAGAGAGAGAGAGAGAGAGAGAGAGAGAGAGAGAGGTGAACCTGAGCTGAATCTGCAAGTTATCGTTCTCCTTTTTCATCCTATCCAGTTCATTGCTCAGATTCTGAGAGATTTCATATGATTTTGGAAAAACCCTAGCTTGATTAGGATTCTTTCAGGAAAATAAGATAATCAAGAAAAGGAGCCACATCTATGCCCATGCAAGAAGCTGAGGTAGATACTGCTTAATGTGCTTCTGATTTTATTTTTTTTGAGAGAAAATGTGCTTCTGATTTGAGAATGCATGTTTTGCATGCAAAACAAAGGCACATAATAACCATTAAGTGCCAGATCTGTTACTAAATCACAATAATAATTTAAGGGAAAAGAAAAGAAGGGGACGATATCCCAATGTCAGATCTGCTATTAAGATTCATTCTTCTTGCTTCTGAGCAAATTTTCTATCTGAAAAACAGTGTCATTTCCTACAAGAAGTTTTTCATTTTTGAACCTTTATTGGGAAACTATAAAATTAGCTAGCTTTTGAAAGTTGCAAGGTAACCGACAGATCAATAATTTGAAGATAAATCAAACCAACCTCATGCTTAGCATCCCAAAGCCTCTTCCCACACTGTGTGTGATACTGGTCCAATATATCAACCAATCTAAACCCCCAAAACAAAAGTGAAAAAGGAAAAACCATAAACCAGCAAAACAATCAAAGTAGATCTTGTTAAAAGAAAAAAGAAGTAAAAAAGGATAAGAACACAAATAATGCATACGAGGTGTTAGAGCTGCAGTATTCGTGCATCTTCCCAGAGCTACCAAAGATGATTAAAGACACTTGAGCATCACACAGGACAGAGATCTCCTTGGCCTTCTTGATCAGCCCATTCCTTCTCTTTGAGTAGGTCACCTGCCTGTTGTTTGAGTTCTCTATCCTCTTTATCTCTATCTTCCCTCTCCCCATCTCTCTTTTTGGGCCTTCTCTTTCTCTCTTGTTCTCTCTCTGGTTATCTTCTTTATCTGCTCTTGTTTGGAAATGAAAGCTAAATAGCTGAATAGCTGAGAGAGAGAGAGAGAGAGAGAGAGAGAGAGAGAGAGAGAGAGGGAGAACCTGAAAAAAGGAGTGGTACAGAAGTAAAGAGAGAACATTCCATTTAGGGTTAAGGGGAACTGCGACTTTCTTGGCACAGAAGAGAAGGTAGAAGTTTCATGCTAAAGTCTACTGTTCATTATTAGGGCTTTCTGGTTATTGGTTCTTCTCTTCCATGTCACCCTTGTGTGACCATCGGTCATTTTCGGACATCCTGCACTGACGTGAGCGATTGATATTAAACGACGGATATGGGTTGGGTTGTTCTCGTGTTCTAACTGCAGCTCCATCACAATGTCCTTTTTTTCCAAATATTAAGTTTGAACTTATCGAAACCACGGACTATCTTTGGGTGTCCTTCGTACGCAACATACACAGTAGGCTTCCTTACCAGCATTTTCTCCTTATTTAGTTCGTCTTACTGGACACGTGGCACCCGGCTTGATGAGAAAAGTGTGCACCCCCTCTTGGCCTTCTCGCTTTCGGTTTGAGTGGGTGGAACCAAAAACCAAATGTCAAATTCAATCGACCATCAAATCAGAACCAATGTGCAGATTCTTATTGAATATAAGAGAGATAGGAGAGGTTAAGAAAGAATACTTTATGTTGGCAGCTCCTTAGGTGGGGGAAAACATTATACAGACCCTTTGATGAGCTTTCCTTTATGCCTAGTCTATGTAAAAACGTATAGTTTCGTAGGCTATATAGTGTAGGGTACCCTTTGAACCTGTTAAGATATGGTGAATCTCATTAAATGATGTCACACTCATCTTAGAGCACAACTCTGTACCTTATATCAAATTGGAGTGTGTACTCCTTAAAGTATATTGCTATACAAAGGTAGCGGGTCTACTACAATCGAGTTCTTTATCACATTGGAATAAAGAGAGCTAGCGATTATGTTGCATAAACATTACATGCCTTAAGGTGAGAGACAAATTAAAATGGTCATAAGAGTATGAATTAGGGTTAACATGCCCGGTGATGAGTGAAAGAGGATTGTATTCATTGCAGTGAGTAATTCTCATGTTTTCAACCTCTTGGCCAAAGGAGTAATTCTCTTCTTCTTTGAATTTTCCAAAACGGCCTGAACTAATTATGCGAGGTAAGCATTTCGTGGTGGAGAATATTACGTTATCAACACGTTAGGTGTCTCTCCTTATGTCTTAAAGAATATCGCCAACTATGATGTCAAAAATCTCCAAAACATCACAATTATTCAAAAAAAAAAATTGGGATTTCCACTAGTGTAGAAAGGCATGCTCTCTAATTTTTCAGGCTTAACTAAATGCAAGGAATATGACTATATATATATAATTCCTAAAATCGACTTTTAATACTGTTATGGGTCTGATAAATATCTTATCATCATTTTTCATCTTCTCTTTCTTTTTGGACTCTCTCTCTCTCTCTCTCTCTCTCTCTCTCTCTCTCTCTCTCTCTCTCTCTCTCTCTCCCCCTCCCTCCCTCTCCTCAAACCCTAAGTCTGAGTCATGTACCAAACTAAAGTTTAATGTCATGCATCACTTAGCCACCCTACCCTGCTTCTCCCACCTAATACTTCTAAGCTGCCTAACTTTTTTCTGTCAGTTAACTTTCAGGTTCTTGGTATGTTTTATGTGGATGAATGTTTTTAAGGGATAACTTTTGGTTTGTTCTGCGCATGTTTGTGTTGATGTTCTTTTCCTTTTCCTTAGCAATTATATTGTCGCATACTTACATTGCATTATTCTAGTTTGCATTTCTATGTTTATGAGACAATTCCATGTTTTTTCGTTTTCTTTTTCTAGTTTAAATCGAAGGGTGCACGCAGATCTAAAAGAGAATTACATTGTCGCTTCTGACCAATTAGCTCTGCTAATTATAAATCTTTCAAATATCATTAAGGGACTAGACAAGAGCTGTTCGATCATGCACGTCAAATCAAAGGCCATCATCCTCATACACACACAAAGTAAATCCATAGTAGTAAATCCAAGGAAGAGAGAGAGAGAGAGGATACAACTGTCCAGGCCTAGTAACATAGTGACAGTTTAACAATACACAGCTAATCAAGTGCAGAGTCTTCAGATTAACATGATTATCTAGCGATAAGGTCCATGGCTAATCATGCCAAAATGCAATTTTGGCGACATTCTTCTCTAAATCCTCTCCTGTAAATTGAGCTGAAGAGGCTGCACGCGAAAGGTGAAAGGCATTTGATGATGAGACTTGCTATAGTCCTGGAGTTGCTGTAGATTTCCCAGAAATAGCGACAACAAAACATAATTTAAAAAAATAAAACAAAATCTTAGGCAGAATCGAACCTCAAGGTTATAAGGAGATATCAATAATCAATCTACATAGACACGCATCTATACATACATATGTGGTAAACATTTGGATAGAGTCATTATTACACTATATCCAGTTTAGAAAGGTCCAGATTAATTCACGCATGCTAAGTTACATTCTAATTCGTCGCAATTCCAACTAAGAAATTATTTGCGTTATGTGTGTAGCAAGAGTTTATATCTTAAATTGATGGGTACAAAAATTATGTTGATCCAGTATTTTCTTTGATCACCGGTGAAAAAATTCAGAATAAGCGAGATAAAATTAAGAACCTTTTCGATATAATATAGTAGGAGCTCTTCTTTTAAGGGGAATGAAATTGATAGTTCACTTCGCGACTGGCCTTATTACCGAGGGTCCACGAATCATTTCGAAAAGCAATCAAACCATTTTTTTCATACTTCATTTTTTATAAAAAACGATATTTGCAATTATATACTAAGAAGTTATCTTATTATAACGTCTGAATTAGATATACTCACATATAGTGCATGGTACTGTATACCAACCAATGACCACTATTACAAAGCTTATAATTGTCTTGTTTACTCAATATATGTTAGTTCTAATACTTTAGTGATTGTGGGTATGAAATTTTTTCGAATGAAAGCTTCTAAACAAGGTGTTTACTTAGATGGCAAGAGAATTTGCTCCCCTCCTTGTGGTTTCCAAAAGTAAAATCCCGAACGTGGGCGAGTGTGTCATTTAGATCGTCCAAAGAGGTGGAATATTCGAAGTGCTTCAAAATTAGCCCGGACGAAACCTTACTGATAAAAGAAATATAAATTTTTTTTAAGAAAAAGCCTCTAAACAAGGGGCCTAAATAAGGCAATTTAGCACGGTCCAACAAATATCTGAATTGCCCCGCAATCATTCATTACTCCTGACTCGCCCTGCCTGCACTTACCCCGAGCCCTTACAATACTAAGTTAGTGTTTTATATTATGTGGTTTATAAAAAAAAAAAGGTCTTTGTTTGTTATTTTTTTTTTACTACTCACTTTTTCAAATATTAGAATAACCGTAAAATACTAAATTTAAATAAATTTTTTGAATAGAGGTTAAATTTAAAATAAGAGTAGATGATATGCAAGTGGGGCGTGGAAACTCGAATGCCTCCCGGGGGTGGGGATGGGTCCTATAAACTTGCCCTGATGGGCTAGATAAGGCGCATACAAAGTCTCATCAATTGTCGGCGGGTAGGGTTTGAGGATGCAATCCCCGCTCCCGCCTCGTCGCCATCCTTATGCTCGAGTATGATGGAAAAACGATCAATGGTCTAAAATGCAAGAAATATATTTGTTCATAATATAGATTGAAAGTTAAGTGTAATGCTGAACAGGTAAACACAAATTAAGAAAATGATGTGATAAGTTCTTGTTGAGTTCTTAAACATATAACTCCCATATTCCGATAGTTAGAGTTTGACAAGGAACAAATTTTGTAGACAAACCTCTATAGATCCCTCTAAATGTTAAGGGGAAGAATAAAAAACCTGTGTATGTATGTTAAATAAATTTTGTTGGACCACTGCCAACTATTAATAGATAATAAGAAAGGCAAATAAAGGGCTTGAAAAGATTTAAACTCAAGACTTCTTGCTTTGATACCATGTTAAATTTTATGGGATTATTGTCAACTGTTCTAAGAACTTAACAAATGCGTTGTTTAATATTTAAATATTCTAACAATATATGTTGATGTATTATAACGTTTCTTAAACTCTAATCGGTAATCTTGACTCTGCGTGTATCATATTAGCAAGATACTTTCTCAGACCTCTCCCATCTATGTGATTTTGGGCTGAAATAATAAGGAAGTTGATAAATTACCTGCACATAGTAATTGAGCTCCTTGTTCTGCTCCTCCAACATCTTGTGCTGGTGGATTTGAAGTTCACCCAAAATGCCAAAAGAAGAAGAAGTAAAATGAAAAAAATTGTTTAGTGAAAACATCATCAGGATGAGCAAGCATCTCGATATAAACTTAATCGAGAGAATGATCAATTGGTAAAAGAAAAAGTTCATGTTGGATATATAAATGCACGTACATTCCTCCTGTGTGTGTTGATGAACTCCATCTGAAACAAAATAGCTGGGGAGAGTTAGAACACATCTTTTTAACCAATTTTTTTAGTGGTCCATATATAAAAGATGAGAGACTTTGCCTTGTGGTCTCGGACGAAATCAAGGCCATTCTCAAGAACATCCTCTAGAACAATGAGCTCTTTATGGTTCAAGGAGTTTATGTCTTGTCCATTTAGATGCCTGCGAGATGCCCACGAGTGACTGGTTTTGAGATTGTCTAAAGGCTAAAGAAACTGAAAGAAGCGAAAAGTAAAGGAAAGAGAAAAGACCCACCTGAGCTTGATCTGCAGATTGTCGTTCTCCTTCTTGATTCTGTCAATTTCACTGTTGAGATTCTGAGAGTTCGCCAAAAAGAAACTCTAGTCGTTAGTGTGTTAGTTTCCAATCAAGAAAAAAAATGGCAGAGATAGAGTTGACTCTGAGTATGTTAAAGGACTTGTACAAGTCCAAAGGAGAGAACAGCGTACTGAGAAAGTAGAAACAAGAATATGAATTGACCCCTATTATTATCCACACAAGAATCAAAGACGAACATAGAAAACACACAAGAAAAGAACCAACCTTGGAACACATGAATTATAT